GGTTGGTCGGTACCGGGGCTTGGTAGTGCCCTGTAACTCTAGCATGGGAGGGTAGGAGACCAGCCGTGTGTTGGATCGAGGACTGAATATAAGACCTGTTGTTTCTTCAATAGTTGTGGGGAGGGCAGGATTCTGTTGGTTGTGCAGTTCCGACTAAAAGCTTTCTGTCGGAGGGTCTTAAGAGTGCTTAGGATTTTGGGACTTCTAGCAACCCCTTTGGGGTAACTTCGATTTGCTACACTTGCTGATCTGCGGCTGTTTCGATGCCAGAACGACGCTGGCCGGTGCTGGGGTGTTGCCCTGTAATCTGTTGATACAGGAGCGTGAGACCTAGTGAAGTCTGGGGATGCTTTGGGGTGGGCATCCTATTGGACAGCCAAGGATTGCTGTAGGGACGACGCTGGCCGGAGCTGGGGTGAGTTGTGTTGCCCTGTAACCAAGCTGTAGTGGGGGCGCGAGGCCTGGAAGAGCTCGGCAGAGAGTAAGGCGTTTTGGAGGGATTCTGGAGGGTTGGTTAGGGAGTTCCAGGGTTTGCAAGCCTTGTTTGGTTTTCGGCGGTTTTATTTTTCATACCTCACCCCCTTTTATGCTTTATCCAAACTCTTTGGTTTTCCGATTCTGTGGTAGCATCTAGCTTTCGTATATGTCTGGGATAGAGAAGTTCAKAGAAGGTCRAGCTKGGACTGATATCCGCAGAGTTGCTCTGTYCTGTGCCCCTGGTTTGCCGATGCYGGAACGACGCTGGCCGGAGCTGGGGTGCTGCCCTGTRACCTGCATTTGCAGGAGCGTGAGGTCTTGTAGAGAGATCCGGGTTTTGCCGAGGGAGGAAGGTAATTCAGTGGTAAACTGGGGGGGGCTGCTAGGCGGCGAGAAGAGAGTAACTATGGGTGACTTTGGTTTGGGGGGGATTGTCTCTGAGGTTTTTTAGACCTAGTTCAAGGAAGGTTAGGAGTTACACTGGGTTAGGAAGCCAGAATAGCTGATATAGCATAGCCTACTACATAAGCAAAAACATTATTAGTATCATCATCATGGTCACCCTCTTTTTATCTCCTATGTTCTATAGGTCGGCTGGTGGTTCATGGTTGCCAACGAAGGTCTTAAGAATGTCTTAGGAATCTGGGGACCTCTAATGACTCAGCCTAGATAATCTATTGCTGATGTGTTCTGAGACTTGCGGAGGCTCGATGCCAGAACGACGCTGGCCGGTGCTGGGGTTTCGCCCTGTAACCTGCAGGTGCAGGAGCGTGAGGCTTGGTAAAGAGATCTGGGGAATGCTTTGGGGGGGCATTCTAAGGGACAACCAAGGGTTGCTGCTGGGACGACGCTGGTCGGAGCTGGGG